AGCAAACAAATCATAATTCTGTTTGAAAAAAAAAAAAAAAAAAAAAAAAAAAAACGATACCCCGTTTCCTGTCATCACCGATAAAATATTTTGTCTTATTTTCTTTGCCTTTTTGTTATTGTTTTCGGGGCTCCCCCCCTTTTGTTGTTATTTTTTTTTTCTTTTCTAATCTTTCATGCCAAAAAAGGATAAAAAAAAAAAAAAATTAAAATTAAATACAAATGAATAAAGAGAAACTAATAATACGTCATAATTTTTCTGGGATGGGGGATGGGCGTAGGGTGGGGTAGGGGTAGGGGTAGGGGAATAAAATTTAAAAATTTAAAAGAACGTTGGGGTTTGAATTCGCGAACGTTTTTTTAACATGTTTGATTAATAACGGAAACGCGGAAAAATTTTTGGCGACGGTAAATGACGGAAATCGTTTTCCGTACGTATGAATTTTTAAATTTTCCCCTCCCCCCTCGTTCTTCCCATAAAAAAAAAAAAAAGTTTTTATTCAGAATATTAGATTTTATTTCTCTCTCTCTCTCTCTGTCTTTTTTTTTCAATCGATTATTATTATTATTTTATTTCATTTTTTCCGCTACGCGGTTCATGAAAATCTCAACAGATCAAATCGAAATGTTTGAGTCGATTGAGGGTGGATTGAAAATTGAAAATTGGAAAGAAAAAAAAAATCGATAGGCGGTTCTGTAGGGGGTGCGTGCGTGCGTGTGCGTGTGAAAGGGGGAGGGTCGGGGGGTAGTTACGAGTAAAACAATTTTTTTATTTTATTTTTAACCGATTATTAATTAATAAACTCACCTGAACTCTCGATTCCGGTAAATTAATTTTTAATGCTACTTCTTCTCTCATGAATATATCCGGGTACCTCGTTTTGGCAAAAAGCGTTTCTAAAACGTCCAATTGTTGCCTTGAGAACGTCGTCCTTTCTCGTCTTTGCTTACGGGCGTTCGCTACAAAAAAAAAAAAAAAATTTATTTTATTAAAACGTATAATACGCGTACACCTGCGTTTTATATCAATTAACAATAGAGGCGTGGAAAACGATTTACGAACCAACTGTACCCATACGAGAGAGAGAAAGAATGAGAGAGAGAAAAAAAAACAAAAAAAAAAAAATAATAATAATTTTACTGGAAGCAGAATATATCGGGAATGGAAAAAAAAAAAAAAAAAAGAATGAGAGAACTAAGCCGGATTAAGGCCCCTGCTGCTGCCTTCTGAATGGGTGAGCTACCATCGAATGGATGATGCCCATCATTCATCAGTATGATTTTTATATATATATTTTTTTTTTCTCTCTCTACGGTTCCCTTTCCCACTGCGGCACCCTTTTCCCCCATACTCCACAACCACGCACGCACGCACACACACACACAAATTTAAAAAAAAAAAAAAATTTCTTTGTTCCGTTTGTAAAAGGATAATAATAATAATAATAAAAAACCCGACGCGTTTTTATTTTATTTTATTTCGTTTAAAAACTTTTGCAGTTATCGATCGATTCTCTAATAAATTTTTATAAATAAAAGAACAACGGAAATTATTAAAATGTTTCAAAACAAATTTAAAAAACAAAAAAGTTTCGAAACAAATGATTTATTGTTTTTTTATTGTTTTTATGTAAAATATAAACAAACGACGGCGGGGGGTGGGTTTGTTTTGATAATAAAAATTTTCCAAACGGCAAATTATTTTTAGGAAAGTTTCTGTAGTTAATGATAGAAAGAGAGAGAGAGATGGAAGGTATATGAAAGGATAAAGAGAGAGAGAGAGAAGACAATAATGTTAAAAAAACGAACACAAATCGATGGCGATCGTTAGATTTTTATTTAAAAAATGAAAGTGAAAACTCTAACAAAAAAAAAGAAGAGTAAAAATTAAAAGGAAGAAAAAGGAAAAAGGAAGGAAAAGGAGAAAGGTAAAAGAAAGAAAAAGGAAAAAAAAAGAAGAAAATTCGATTGGTTAAAACCCAAGATTACTACTTTTCCTTACATTTATTTAAATTTTCGATTGCATTACAGAATAATCTCAGATAATCTTCCAGCCGAAAAAAAAAAACTGTAAGGAATAAAAAATTAGCTAAAAAAAAAAAAAATCTGAAAAGGAGAAGAAGAAAAAGAAAAAGCAGAAGAAAAAGCAGAAGACATCTTTTTGCGGCGGTATTAAATCTCGCGGTTAGAATTATCCTCGAATCTTTTCTCTCTTTAATGCTTTTCAATATTTGCTCAACAGTTGCAAAATCGGCTTTTTAAACACCTTTTTGCGGTAAACAACATTTTCTTTATTTTAAAAAAAAATAAGAACTCTCAGAAGTTGACGAACGCAAAAAAAAAACCAAAAAAAATAACCAAGAAAAACTTTTTCTCGAAAGGAAAAACAATACGAGGAGGACGAGGAAAAGGACAATGAAAAGAATTATTAATGTGAGAGAATGATGAAAAAGAAATGAACAACCAACCAATCATTGAACCAATCATCAACACGCGCAACCACTTTTAAACCTTTTTTGCTTTTTTTATAATTGCTTAAAGTGATAAAAAAAAAAAAAAAAACAAAGTCGGGAAAATTTATTTGGAAAATGTGAACGACGACGACGACGACGAAGCTCATCGTAAAAGGGCGACAGGCGAGAAAAAAAAAAAAAAAAACATTTGATACGTTTCCCACATCAATAACTAACTAAAAAAAAAAAAAAAGCTTTTAAAAGTCATAAAAACATCACGCGTTGCTGTTGTTTCAACAAACCAAAAGAAAAACAAACGTTTGTCTAGTGCTACGTCTTTTATTTTGGGGTGAATATTTTACCATCGTTTTATTTTTTTAAAAAAAAAAAAAAAGGAAAGAAATTTTTTTTTTTCCATCTTGTGATTTCCCCCTCCCCCTCCCCGCATCCTTTCGTTCCCACATCATTTTTCCACTCATCAGTAATGGATGGTGGATTTACCGCAAATTGCTGTTGTTTATTGAAATCGAGTTGAATATAATAAAAACTCGATAGAAATGAATTATTTACCCCATGATGATGGTAAAAAAAAAAAAAGAAAAATTGAAAATAAAACAATTTCCTTCCTCCTTTCCCGTCTTCCGGTTACTTCCGGTTAGTCGGATGATGATGATGGAAACAATTTAACGGAAATAAATGAATCGATTTGTGTCGTCGTCATCGTAGAATTTTGATGGACGTGTTGATATTGCCATCTGTCGTGATTTTTATTAATTAATAATATTCGCACCTGAAAAATATCGATTTGCGACGAAAAGGAAAATATCTGTGTCGGAAATAGCCATTTCTTTGTTTAAAAACAAAATAATAATAATAATATAAAGGACGACGAAAAACGATCAGTGGAAAAAAAAGAACAATGAAAGAAAAAAAAAAGAAAAGCAACAGGAGAATAGAAAAAAATGATGAGAGAAAAATATTAAAGAGGAGAAGGAGGGAAATTAGAAAAGGCGGCGGCGGCGGAAGGTTGAAAAGATTTTTGAAAAGGCGGTGAAAGGAAGAGAGGGAAGGTAATAATAATAATAATAATAATAGTTGAGCATAAAATAAAGAGGGAAATAAGCGGATCAAACCTCCTCCGCCGTTATTAACATCAAAGAACTCTCGCTAATGAATTGAATCAAGGAGGAGAGAAGGAGGAGGAAAAGGGAGAGAGAGAGAGAGGGAGACAACAGCAATTCGCTTGAGACAGGCAAATTTAATAAATAATAATAATAATTTAAAAGTCGAATAAGTTTTCCGTCGGTTATGCCACGGGTAGTGAAAGAATTTGAAAACTAAAAGAATGAAAAGTTCTGGGAAAATTCGTGCCGAATAAATTTTCTTACGGATTTTCCCAAAAAAAAAAAATCCGTCGGGGAAAGTGTTAAAAAGTAATTAATTACTTCACGTTTAACTTTTGACATGATCTCGGGTACTCGCAACAAAAAGAGAAGCAGTGAGAGTGAGAGAGAGAGAGATGATAAAAATATGACGTAATGATAAAGCAGAAGATTCTTTTTTTTGGTTTTTATTACGTAATCGAATGAAAACCATCAACTACAACATTGCGGTTAATAGGAAAGTAAATTGATGAAAATAATTCTCCAGAGAAATGTTCAACTGGAGAAAAAAATTCAACAAAGAAAATTGAAAAAAATTTGGGGTTTTCTCTCTCTTTCTCCTTTCACGACGTTATTAATTTTTTATTAATCGAAAATATTTTTTTTCCCTGTACGATTTCCAGAATTTTCCAAAAGTTTTAGCTATAGGAAATTATCGTTTTTTAAATCTCGTGGATTTTTTTTTATTTACACGTACATTTTTTTTAAATCGTTCCCGACGCCATTTTGTTTTTCAAACCGGAAACAAAGAAACGTTTACAAAAATAATTTTCCATCGTCTTCCACCAATTTAACCGTTTTTGTTTTGCTTTTTGTTTTTTTTTTTTTTGGACAAACAATTTCCGGTCGGATAAAAATTCTATTCCCGAAATTTTCCAAAAAAAAAAAAAAAAAATGGGGGGAGGAATGGGGGTCGGAATAAAAAAAAGGGAACTTACCGCCATAAGGTGAATGATCTAAAGTATGTCCTAAACCGAAAGGTCCTGTCAAAGCCGGCGGACCCTGTCCGGGAAATTGCGGTCCTTTTAAATATCCAGCCATGTGACCGAGTCCCACTGGAAAGTTCATAGAATAATCCTAAAGGAAAAAAAAATGTATATAAAAAACCGGTAATAATAATAATAATGATAATAATAATAAAATTTTATTTTGTCTTTTCGTTAAGTTGTTGTTTAGGATGACACATGGAAAAAAAAAAAAAAAAAAAAAAAACTCTTTAAGAATATTTTATTGATAAAATCATTGAATAATGTGATTGGTGGAAAATATCAACACACGCACACACGCACGCACACACACAGACACACACACACACACACCCTTGTGAGGATTTTGTGTCATATTTGTGATTACATCTTCAGACATATATTTCTAATGTCACGGACATTTTATGGCATTAATGTCTATGTTATTACGTCGCGCAGGTTGTCGTTGTTGTCGTTGTTTGTCTTTGTCGTTTGTCGTTGTCGTTGTTGTTGCGCATACGAAAAAAAAAAAAAAAAAACGTTTTCACGTTTAATTGTTAATTATCATTTTAGTTTTTAATAATCGTATCTAATACGACTAATTGATTTTTTTTTCCCTTTCTGTCTTTTTTTTCTTTTTCATAATCTTTGTCTGTGAGAGAGAGAGAGAGAGAGAGATAACGTGATGATAATAACCGGTGGGTTTAAGGGTACAAAAAAATCAATTGGAAGAGAGAAAAAAGTAAAAGATTTTAAATTTAGATCGAATGTAAAAAAAAGTAAAATGTCCGCACGTGTTCTTAAACGTGTACTTTATAAGATAAATAATGAATGATTAGATTTATGATGACGTATTATGAGGACCTTTTGCATCCTTTTTGTGTAAGGGATGTGTTATGGATTTTTAGTTTTTTTAATGCCAATCAACTAATACTTAATTGATTTAGTTTTTTTTTTTTTTTTTTTTTTTTTTATAAACATTGTCCACGCCGTCGTCCTCATCTCGCATATCAATTCCGCCATTTTTTTTTTATTGGTAAACGGACGGTGGAAAGTTATTTGATAAGTGATAACGACAAATTTTTTTTTTTTTATATTAACTTTGACGACATTTTTTTTTTTTTTGTTTTTTCTCACATCCTGTCAATGTTGTCATTTAAAAAAAATTTTTTTTAAATCACGAGGTGGGTTGGTCTTGTTAGGTTTTCTTATGGGTTTTACTGTCACTTTAGTTTTTTTTTTGTCTTACAACGTTCTCCGATTAAATAATAATAATAATAATAATAATAATGAAATTTTTAACTCACCATATTAATTGTGACGTCGTTTTAATAAATGTCCAACAGATTTTTTGTTTTTTTTTTTTCGAACGATGTTTTTTTGGTTGTTGTTGTTGTGATTTGACGTTTTTCGACTGTCTCGACTTTAAACCTGAAGAGAAAAAAAAATTTAACAATGAAACAAACAAATACAAACGCACAAACACGCACCCCCCCAAAAAAAAATGTTTATTTTTATCTTAATGAACGTGTTCGATATCGACGACGGTTTTTTTTTTTTTTTTTTAAATTTTTTTGTGATTTTTTTTTTTGATTGTTTAGACGTTGTTTCAAAAAGGTTAAAGACCGAGAGGTTAACGTACCTTATTTTTAAAAAATTATTGTACCTTTCAAAGCAAAAAAAAAAAAAAAAAACAAAAAGAAAACAAAACAAAAAAACCGCAAGAATAAAAAAAAAGGTGCGAACATGATAGAAGTTAAGAAAAACGAATAATAATCATTATTATTATTATCGTTTCCCGCGTTTTTTTTTTAAATAATTGAAAATAATAATAATGATGATGTACCTGATAATTATAAACGCCGCGTAAACAATGGTTCGGTACTTACACGAATAAAAAAAAAAATAATTTCCGGGAGAAAACATTTTCGCGTTGGAGTTAAATGAATTAATTGAATTTTTTTCTGGAACGTTTCTGGAATATTTTACGGGAAAAGAGAGGAAAAAGAAAAGAGGAAGGAAAATTATATGGAAAATTAATTAATAAAAGCAAATTTTCTTTTTAAAAAAAAAAACGCGCAAATTGGGTTTTTAAAAATATTAAAATTTTAATGGGTTTATAAAAATATTATTAATTGGTTTGGAGAAAAAATTTATAATTCCCGCGTTACAAACCGGAAATGCCAAATATTTAAAAAAAAGAAACGAATTTAAAAATTTCGTTCGGTTGAAATTTTTATAATTAATATTCGTACTACAAAATAAATTTTCCGACGGATAAATTCAATAAACGAATATTTTTAAACATGAGCGCAAAACGTTTCTACCGCGGTAAAAATTAAAAATGGCGGATTTAAAAACGATTAATATTAAAAATATATATATATTAAATAAATAAAACGATGAATTTATGCGTTTGATGTACGCCGCGCGTGCGATGCGTGCGTTTTTTTAAATGTTTTTGTTTTTCCGTGACGTGCGTAAAATTTTCTTTTTATTACAAAAAAAAAAATTGAAGAAAACAAAAAAAAATAAATATTTGAATAATACCTTTCGATTTATTTCGTAACCTCAATAATTTTATTAAGTTTGCATAATCCAAACGGTTCATCCGTGTGATTTTATCGTGGTAGAAGAATAATAAAAAAAAAAATTAAGCTTATTTTAGTTGTAAGAGGATAACAACATTGTATCATAATAATAATAAGCTTAGAAAAAACACTTGCACACACACATATCACTCTCGCGATTTTTTTTTTTTTTTTAAGTAAAAAAAACGTGGCGGTAAGACCGATCGATCGTTTCTTTTTTATAAAAATAAAATTTCCCCGAAGCAGACGAAAAAAAAAAAAATTCAGGTACGATTTCGTTAAATAAAATAAACAAAAACAAAAAAACAATTTTCGACCGACTAAACTCATCGATTTCGCCGTTGGGAAAATGAAAAAAAAATTTTGTTATTTCATTATCCAATAATCGCAGCGGCCGCAGTTTTTTTTCTAAATGAAATATTAATTGATTATACGTTAAACGTAATTCTTTAATATTTTTTTGTCTTCTTACCGTTCCGAGAGAAAAAAAATAATTATTACTATTTGAATATTAACGGATTCGTCATTATGGCGGTTAATGTTTAAAAAACTAAAAAAATTTGTTTTTTTTTGGGGGGGGAGGGGTTTAAAGTGGTACGAGAGTAATAAATTATCGCACGTATTCGTACACGTGAGAAAATAAATAATAATATTAATAATTAAATAGAAAAAAATCAGGTACGTCGAATGTAAAACGAAAATTCGCGACATTTTTTTTTTTATTACGGGCGACGATGAGTAATTTTTATTATTATTATTATTATTATTATTATTATTATTATTATTATTAGTATTATTATTATTTTACCTAAAAACCAAAAAAAAAAAAAACAAACAATTCAAAGGGTAATAACCGGTAATGGGTATCGTTCGAAAGTTTTTCAACCTTTCTTTTCAATTCATTTTTTTTATTAACGACAGATTTTCATTCAGGTACGAACCAAAAAAAAATTCAGGTATTTTTTTCCGACTTGCTTTTTTGTCTTCTTCGTGCGAATTTAAAAAAAAATTCTCAAATGAATTCTCTCGATAATAATATATACAAATTTTTTATTACCGTCCGTTAATAATAATAATAATTCATTAAATTATTTATTACTCTTCCGGGTGCCCCCCAAAAAAAATTTACCTTGTAACTACTGCGATCTAGTGACGATGATTATAATTAAAAGAAAAAAAATCAATTATTAAATTTTATTTTGTTTACGTGTGCTCGAACCGAACTCGATTATTATTATTGTTATTATTATTATTAGTATTATTATTATTATTTCGGCCTTTAAAAAATAATAATTTTAACGTATTAAAAATTAAATGTAAAAGAAAAATAAGAAGAAGAGGAAAGAAAAAAAAAGGTGGGAAAGGTAGTAGTAAATGGGATGTAACAAACAATGTTATTATTCTCCCACTGCAACAAACGGACACGCCTTCCTCTTCAAAACGTTCTGCCCATTAAATATTTATAATAATAATAATATTAATAATAATAATAATAATAATAATAAAACATTTTAAGTTACGTGCATGGTAAAGAGAGAGAGAGAGAGAGAGAGGGAAAACCTCTCATGGATGCTAATGACGCAAACCTTTGAAATGTCCAATTTAACCGGTTTTTTTTTTTTTTCATTTTCATTTTTTATTTTTTGCCTTTTCATTAATGGTAGAAACCTTCCGGTTATGATAATGAGAAAGAGAGAGAGAAAGAAATCGTGTGCGTGTGTGTGTGAGAGAGAGAGAAGGGTAATATAATTTTGTGCCGTAAAAAAAAAAAAAAAAAAACTTTTTATTTTTAATGATTTAAAAATTTTATTTTAACCCTTTTAGTAAATTTATTATTATTATTATTATTATTATTAGTATTATTTCATCCCCTTATATACGTGTGTGTGTGTGTGTATGAAGATACAAATGAAAATCCGAGGGTGAAAATGGGCGGTTAAAAAGGGTAACACGATAAAGAAACAAATAAAAAAAAGTTTTTTTTTTTTTTTTTTGCAAACTCGGTAATGGAGTCGCCATAATTTTGTTTTTTTTTTTTTTAATATTTACCTTTTGCATGTTTTAAACGAATAGAAAACGAAAATAAAATTGTCGTGGTAGTAGAAAGTCAAAAAAAAAAAAAAAATTAAACACGGAATAAGACTTTGATAACATTTAAACATAAAGTAAAAAGTAGACAGTGTAAACCCGATCGAATTCAAATCGCCATTTTGTTTTTTTGTTTTATTTTTCAAGTTGGCAACATTTGAAACGTTTTAAATTAAGATTATGCGCGCAAAAATCCGCCATTTTTAATTTTTAAAATTTACGATTTTAATACGCAGTAAAGAAACTAAATTCGTTCGTTTGTTACTAATGTTTAAATTACAAACAAACAAACAAACACTTGATATTTGGTCGTTTGAAAGGAACAAGAGGTTTGTCGAGAATAATAATAATAATATAAAAAAAAATCGTTAAACAAACAGAAACCGCTAAATCATTTTTTTTTATTCTTTCGAAATTTCAATGTAATAATAATAATAATGATGATGATGATGATGATGATAATGATAATAATGATAAAATTTGAATGCTAATATTAAATATATTGTTGTACTCGTGCACGAGAGAACAACAATACGAATATATACATTTATATATGAAAATCAGAAGCCATATTTTCTTGTTACACGTTTCAAAAATTTCACGTAACATAAATCAAGTTATAAAAGAATATTCAAATGATGATAATGATGATGATGATGATGATGATGATGAGACATTGATTTTCATTTTTTCAAATAATAAATACACATTATAATAAATTTATAATTTTTTTTTTTTTTTTTTATAACGTTCTTTCCGACGTTTCACAATAATAATAATAATAACAAATAAAAAATAGAGAGAGGGGTGAAGGTAGGGGAGGGGGAGGGGAGGTGGAAAGTAACCGTGAGTTACATTCATTTTTTATAAAGAATTTCAAGGTTCATCCTCTTTTTTCTTTCTTCGGCGACTGTCATGTTTTAAAGAATAATCTCAAGTGGAACAAAGAATAAATATGAGAATATCTTTCATTTCATTTCTTTTTTTTTCGATCATGAATGTTTTCTCACTAAAATATTATTATTATTATTATTATTATTATTATTATTATTATTATTATTATTATTATCATTATCATTATTATCATTATTATCATTATTATCATTAATAGAACATTCGTGGTTCTAGCAGCAGCAACAGCAAAAGCAGCAGTAGTGATTGTTGTGGTGGTGGTATTCTTTAAGTGTGCAAAAAAGTTTGCATTATGAAAGAGGAGGAGAAGGAGAAGGAGGAGTAGAGGGGATAAAACACGCAGGAAGGATCTAAAAACTAATAATGATGATAATGATAATGATAATGATCCATGCGGTTTTAAATTATTTATCATAAC